TTTTTTTTTTTTTTTTTTTTTGCTTCAGAGTTCCTCACTTGGCACTATAGTCATCCACCTCCATTTAGGATTGTGGTGCTTGTTTTTGTTTACATGATGAAACTTGTAATTTAGCTGGTTGTTGTCCCTTCTTGTCCCCTCCAGGGAGGTGTTTCATCTTTAATAAATTGTGTGTTCGGTTACAGTGTCACTCAGGTTTTTAACCACGACTAAACATCAATGACACTTACAATAGGGGTGCCCTTAGCTTTGTGGAAATCTTCATTCTGGCCAATACTGTCAGAAGTTTCCAGGTTTTGTAAAGGATGATCTTTGGGATCACTGTGGTAAGGCAAGTCTAAATTATTCTTTTGTTCCCCACACTAAACTCTTTTTTTTTTTTTGTTCTTATTTAAGACACTTGTAACTTTGGCTTGGATAATAGGACCTTCAATCATAAATTAAAACAACCTTTTTCTGTGTTCCTTATTCCACACTGCAACTTGCACAAAGGAAAACGAGAAAGTGTCCAATAAAAAGCAAGACTTTTTACTGCATTTTCTCTACCCTCCACACTAGATGGAGCAGGCGGTGCTGATTACATTCATTTCCTCATATCTTGGATCAACAGGAAGTAGATTCTGCACAGCTGGTGGGCAGGTACATTTTGGAATGCTATCCATAAAGATATGGGCACTTCACTGTTTTTAGTGAACAATTATTTTTCTTATTTTTATGTTTTATTTTTGTTGACCTATTTGTGGAAATGCTGACTTGCCAGAATAGGAATGTGTCTGCTGTAGATACGTAGCATCTACTGTACTAAATGCAAGCTTTTCTCTCATGTAACCAATTGTGGTGTAATGTTTGGATGGTTTTGCTGTATCATTGAATCACTTCTCAGTTGGGGAGACTGTATCTGGATATTTTTGCAAAAACATGGATTTGTTTTCCTTAACAAAATGCACTATTTGGTTGAAAGTAATGGCTTGACTGATGGATAAATAATGCATATAAAACATCAACAGCATGAAACCTAAGTAACTTTGATCCATAGGCATTATCATTAAGACAGTGAAATGGCTTTGCCCGACTTGGAAGCTTCTGATCATTAGTTTTGCGCTAGTGTGTTAAGTTGAAGGTAGGAGAATTTAAATATCATATCCACTTCTGTATTCAGCTTGGCTTGCAGGTTAAGTCGATTTGGCCTGAGGGTTGATTTGTCCTATTCCTATGGGACTAAAGCACATTCCCAACATCATTGAAAGGAGAGTATCCATGTTATGCATGCTCATACTTGTTAAACCCTTTGACAAATTAGTAATGTTAGGTGTATATGTCAGAACTGCATTCTGTTGTAGAATTTCCACTTAGTTAAAGGCTTTTGAAGCATATAGCTAGGCTTTCATTTTTTTTAACATCTACAAGTAAAATGCCTTACTTTGTATTTTGCTGTGTTTCTTTGAATGTTCTATAATACTTTTTTCCCTATTTCACTTAAAAGAAATAACTGCCTGTTTTATTCCATTTCCTTTAGATATCTGTCTCACTAAACATGCCTGTTTCCCAATCTTTGGAACATGCAAGCCTTCTTGATCAGATGTGGATTTTTTTTTTTAAAAAAAANAGGCAAGTTGTTCCATTGGTGGATTGCTCTCTCTGTCAGAAAATTTCCCCTTATTTTGGGGGGAGTGGGAAGATTCGAATAAGTAGTACAGTGTCCAGCCTTCCTCATCCAGTGCCTTCCAATTTGTATATTGGCTGGAGATAATGGAAGTTATCCTTCAATGTTACTTTGAGACCATTTGTTTGGAGAAGGCAGCCCTAATATCATGGCCGAAATGGTAGTAAAAAATGCTTTTAAAAAAGGTTCTGACGATCAGCTTTGCGATAATCAACCGTGCCATGCGATTTCTAGCGAATATAAATCGAACAGCACTGCTGATTGTGGCACAGCTGACTACGGGTTTGTCCGAACTGGTAGCATTTTTTTACTACTGGTTCTGGTGAACTGGTAGCATTTTTTATTACCGGTTCAGGTGAACCAGCCTGAACCGAAGTAATCAGGAGATTAGAAGAGTTTTGAGAAAAGAAATGATAGCATTTAGAACAGGGGTGTCAAACTGGCAGCCCACAGGCTGGATGTGTCAGGCACAGGCCACACCTACCCCAGCTCCGCAAAGGGGGAAAATGTCATGATACATTATATGACAGCAACATGACGTCGTGAGTTTGACACTCATGATTTAGCCAATATATTGGAAGCTAATATATTGGTTAGTTAATGTCCTGTCTCTCCTTGTAGGAATTCAAGACAATATACGCAAATAGCATTCCTGCCTATGGTTTTTTTTCTCCACAGTAATAAACTGGGAAGTAGGTTAACTTGCAAATAGTGATTGGCTCCAAATCATCTCTTGAATTTGTGTGAGTTGTCCAGACCTAGTTCAGCTCCTTAATCATTACAACTTAATGGTAGACCTTGATGCAAGGGGAGTAAGAAAAATATATAATAAAGACATAGAAAGGTATAAGGTAGATTTTTCCCTCTCTGTCATAATGCTGGAACTCAAGGTCATACATTGAAACTAAATGGAGGTAAATTGATAAAAAGGAAATCTTTTTCTTATACAACATAATTAAATAATGGAGATCTTCCGTCATTGGATTGATAGCGGACACTGGTTTAGAAAATTTTAAAAGAAAACTAGACAAATTCATGGAATTATGAATGGTTACCAATTTTGAGTGTTGCTTATCTCAATCTAAAAACTCAGATATTGCACCAAATATTAGGGAAATAATAGTAGAATGTTATAATTTTCCAGTCCCTATTTGTGAATTTTTGTTGCCTTTATTTATTAATTCCCTAATTACTTTCCTTAAGGGTATCATTTATCACTTACTTAAATACTGTCTGTCAAGAGTCTGGGAATGGCTAGTTCCAAATGTGCCTGATACCAGCTCTTAACATTTGCAAAGATCTTTCTGCAAACATCTGCTAAAGATCTTTAATTGTCAATCAACTGAGTGGAGGGAACAAGTGGCTGCAAACATTTTGAAAGTGCAGGTGCCCCCAGAACTTCCAGAAATATTTTTCTAGACTTGACGCTACTGCCAAGAGGGCCTTTTTGCAGGCTCATCACCGGCACCAGTTGTGTCCTTGATCAGGAGACTCTTCAGATGGTCACTCATGCGTTGGTCATTTCACAACTGGATTATTACAATGCACTGTACATGAGGCTGCCCTTGAAGATCAGTCAGAAGCTACAGCTGCTTCAAAATGAAACGATGTGAGCAATAAGAGGCATCTCTCAATGCACCCACATGTCACTACTGGTACATGAGTTGCACTGACTGCCAGTTGGCTTCCAAGTGCAATTCAAAGTGCTCTCTATGGCATAGGGCCTAAATACCTAAGAGATTGCTTATCTCTGTTTCTGCCCACCTAGCATGTTCCAGCAGAGTAGATGTGCTTCAGATTCCTCTATTAAACATTGATATTTTGTGATGTCTTTTCTGTTGTCATCCATACAATCTGAAACAATATCCCTGCAGAGATAAGGATAGCACATTTTATCTTAGAATTCTACAAAGCTTTGAAAACCTGGTTTGGTCACAGGCCTGGAGTTGAACTGGAGCTGTGAACTATGTTGTATTTTTAAGTGAAAAACTAAACCTGTGATCCGGGTGACCAACCGAGAATGGATTCTGGAGTTGATGTGTGTTGTTTAAGGCCCCTGATTTGTTTTGTTGACTTTGTTGTTTATTAGATCATTTTAATCTAGGCTGCCAACTGATTTAAGCTGTTAGCTGTTTTTATGTTTTCTTATGGTTTTGTACACAGCTCAAAGTCCATTAAATTTGTGTGGTCAATAAATTTAAATAAATAAACCTAACTAACGTCCCAGTGGATTTAGGTAAGAAAAGGACAGCTTTCATTGAATACAAAAAAGAAACACTTTCTAACAATAAAACAGCTCAACTGTTACAAGAGTCCCCTTTTTACTAGATGCCTCACCAGTAGGGGAGCTGTTTGTCAGTTGGGTTTCTGTGCTAAGCAAAGGTTGAACTTGATGGCCTAGCCAGCACCTTCCAACTCTATAATTCTATATTGTAATATGTTTTATGCAACACAGTATAAATATTTACTAATATTGGTCATTATTTCATAAAAGGAGAATTTGAATCCCAAAAGATTTCTTACAACCAGTACATGATTATTTTGTCTAAATATATAATGTATATATTTTTATGCAATTACATTACAGGCTGGCCACCCATTTCAACAGCGCTGTGCCCAATCAGCTTATTCAAATAGCAAGCAGAAATGGGAGGCTCCTGTATACCTCCTTTTCTTGGATTGCGTCTGGCAGATCCTTCGTCAGTTTCCTTGCTCCTTTGAGTTCAACTATCATTTTCTCATCATGCTCTTTGAACATTCTTACGCCTCTCAGTTTGGAACTTTCCTGGGTAACAATGAAAATGAAAGGTAGATGAACATTTTTATTCCTGATTTCTTACAGGCTAAACAATATGACGGTTCATGTAAGACAGTATTAATGTCATTACTATTAAAATTATGGGGACTCTTGGCTATTAATTGAAAAGGCTTGATGTTTGCACTTGAACTATGCCATTTATCAAATTGGGATTAGTTCATCTGTTCATCCAGAAATGAAATGTGCAGGTTTCTCGAAATCTTCCCACTCCTCAAGCCTGTCCCTTATTGGTCTTCTTCCACGTGTGGGAAGACATAACACAAATATGGCAGAACATACACTGAATGAATAGTGTTTTGGAAGATGATGAGGATCTTTTTTGAGCTTTCAAAGGCTGATAGAGCAGGGCAGCTCTTCCCTAGCTATGATCCCAAAGGAGACAATAGCAGGAATGGCTATTCCAGCACTATTTTTAACACAATTGCATTTAACCATGTAACATGAAGCTCTCAATAGTTTCCAGAATCACACTGGTGGAATTTGGGTGCAAAATAAAAGATAGTTTCTTGCTGATAGACATAATATATAAAGCAAGCAAAAAACAGAACCACAACCCCAAAACAGAGAAACAAAATTATAAAAATCTAGGCCTTCTCCATTTGCTTTCAGGACAATATTTCATAATCTTGTCCACATCAGCTTCTGGGAGGAGTGTAGCCTATGAATAGTAAAATGTTTTCCAACTTTCAGTTAAAGAAACTGTGGATATCAGGTTTAAAAAATTTGCCTGAATATTTAAAGATCTAAGGACCACAATGATGAATTGGTGATCTAACTTAGCAGAGAGTATATCTCCTTATTTAATGTATATGTTTGTCCTCTAATCAGCAGCGGTGCCTCTCTGTTTACTTTGAATTTATTACAAATATTTCATGGTTGTGTTTCAAAGATCACTTTGAAATCCCATAATGTGTTCATATTTCTGGCAGCAAGGGGGATCTTGCATCTTATACTGATAAAACTTAAACTGAAAACAGAGTTTATATTTTCAAGGAATACCAAGAAGACATGTATAGTAAATTCATATTTTCTTTATCCTTTGATTTCTTTTGTTTTCTCTAGAAAGTTATATAGACCTTTTTTTTTTACAATATACAGAATATTCTGCATATTTTTTCTTTTTAATATTTTAGTACAGGAGCAGCTACTTTACAGTTTCTCCAGGACTGAGTTTACTAGCTAGAATCTTTTAATTTTTTTTGTATCGTCTTGTTTTTGTTCTCCCATACTATTACTTGCAAGTTGAAAAAGCATGATTTATTTTTATTTGTGTTACAGAAGTAGCAGAGCTTTTTTTTTTTAAAAAAAAATCAGTCTTCTTCCACATAGAGAGAAACCCCCTCCTTCTCCGCGTTCTCTGCAAATGTGAATAGAACAGATAATACTGGTTGCCCCCCCCCCCAAATAATAATATTGGNTATTTTATTTGTTTTCAGCACACCAAAATACATGGAAATTAGATGAAAATAATAAAAGAGCTTTTTAGTCACAGATCTGTGACCGGTGAAATTCATTCCTAAAGAGAGTTAAAATATTGAGTCTAGGACAGTGGTGGGTTTCAATTCGGCTTGCTTATGCTTGCATGCGCGTGCCATACTTCTGCGCATGTGCAGAAGCGAGTGGGCGGAGCATCCTGCCACTGCCACTACTGGTTCACCTGATCCGGGCCGCACTGGAAGCAACCAACCACTGGTCTAGGATTTTCAGTATGCAGAGCATGGTCTTTCGTTACAGATAGGATGGGGTTTGAAGAAAGCAAGAGGTATTACTAGGATCTTTCTTGGAAGTATTAAAAATCCTTTAAATGCCTACAATTATTTAAAATGTATGTCCTCTTTCATTGCCTTCCCTAATAATACTCCTTGCTCCATTTTCTCCTCCTATACTTGCTTTGTCATATAATTTAAATCCTTTCCTTTTTGCATGCTGTGTGTAAAAGAATATGTCTCTGAAAATAGATCTGTGTCTTTGCATTTCATGGGTCACATACGTACATCTTTAACGGATATGGGAATATAAAAGGTCTTGTGCCAACTGAAATCATTTGTCAGGTTTATGCAAGCAGACTGACAAGCTCTGTGGAGCTTTGGAAAAAATACTTTCAAATCTAACTTGATGTCTTTTCATGCACCTGTTTTGTCAGCGTTTTCCATTTAATATTCTTAACCAAACTGTAATATTTTTATTTGTTACTCTCTTTTCTTTACCAACTTACCACCTCTTCATTCAAAACTACTTGACTATTCCTTTTCCTTGCCTTGATTTCTTCTGCTTCTGTGTTGTGACATCACCTTTTTCCTTCCTCTAAAAAAAATGCTGCTTCTTATCAGTGCATTCCTGAATCAGCTTCTCCTTTTCTTCAACATTACTTTGGTTTGGTTAAGCCATAAAAATGAACTCCTCAGCATTCTTCTCTAAGACTGTTCCTCTGTAAATATGGTCTGGGATGCTTTCCTTATTCTTTGTAATTACTTCATTGAAGTTCACCAGCATCACTTGAAGCACCTTATGATTACAACACCTCTTATAAAAGTATCTATATTCCCTAAAAACAAATCCTTACTCTTCACAGTGCTGCTTGGCTCACTTGCAAAGGATAGATTTCATTTGTAGCAATCAATTAGTTTGTCACAGGCGTTTTCAGTGTATGCTCTGCCTTATATTAAATTTATACTCTTTCTTTAGAGGCAGTAGCAATAACACTTAGACTTATATACTGCTTTACAGTGCTTTACAGCCATCTCTAAACAGTTTACAGAGTCAGNCACTTAAAAGAAATAACTGCCTGTTTTATTCCATTTCCTTTAGATATCTGTCTCACTAAACATGCCTGTTTCCCAATCTTTGGAACATGCAAGCCTTCTTGATCAGATGTGGATTTTTTTTAAAAAAAAAAAAATCCCTATTTTGATCAGTAGCTTTTTCTTAGGGGCAGTCCCCCTTCAATGAACAAATTTTATTTTTTGCCACCCTGTCAACTTAGCTGACAATATCAGAGATATCCTTCCTGAAAATGCAACATAATTATAGTTGATTGCTCCAACAATAGAGCATTCAGCATTTTATTATTAATGTGAAATATATAATCCTTTTTAATGAATTTTACTGAATATTTTGGAGTAGGAACAATTCGTAGGGTTTTCTTTTTTTTCTTTTTTTTGCCTTTTTTGTGCGGAGGAGGGCTTGGAATTGTGGATAATTGTGCCTAACCTAACCTGCTCCTTTCACCTCTCCCCAAATCTTTTTGAAAGAGCCAGGAATGTACAGTATTCATTTTCTTAAAGGTATGCTGCTCAGAATTAGTACTGTCTGTAGCTTTTGTAATTTTGACTAAGCTGTATTTCTTTCTAAGTGTAGTGATATTTTGCTGTTCACATTAGATTGGAAGCTGCAAGCCTGTTCCAGGACTTTATCAATAATGGTTCGACTTACCAGATTCATGTATTTTCCACTAGAAGATTAGAACGACAAAGATGCATTTTTAAATTCAATTGGGTATTGCACAAAGGCAGTCATGTGGTATTAGAATAACAGAACAAAGGAAAAACACTAGTTTTTACTAAATGGGCATTTTTTGGGTGCTGCCCTTTTTCTCTGTGGCCAGAACCCAGTTGAACTAACCAGGAGATGTTGGCTAACCTCACCTACTCTTGCCTTTCTATAATTATGTGGTTATTGGAAATGGTGACACATTACAGGGTTGCTTGGTTTAAGAAATTAATTGGAATGTCCATTGAATTTCTGGGAAAAGGTAAAATATCAGATGGAATGTTCAGAATCTTCATCCTGAATTATTTTCTGTTTATATGGCAGCTTTGATATAGATTTCACTGTATGTTTAAGCCCTACCATAACCTTTTCAACATAATCAACTTCTACCCTCAAATGAACTCTTAGCTGGCACTACTGTAAAGTATTGAAATAAACAGACTCCTTCCATATCTATTTATTTCAAAGTTATTTTCCTGTTAAGTTTAGATGTGATTTTTGCATATGATATTTATGATATAGGTCATTATCTTCAAGAATTGGTTGTAAACTATTCATAATCTTAATGGCTAATTTTTGATAGTTTTTTGAAAGGTATGTTTGATTAAAGGGAAGTGTAAATAACAATATTTACAATGCAGTATTTATTATTTGAATGAATTAGACTTAAGTAAAATTGTATTAGCAATTATGTCATTTCATATGGTTTCATAATAGTTTTAAGATTGGTTAACATTTCACTCTTTTCCAGAAAACAAAATCAATTGTATTTTCATACTGCTATGAATTCCGAAACTTTTTCCTCATTAAAAATTAGGTCCTTTATAGCAGTGCAAAGATGGTGCATCTTGGTTTGGCTGCTTGGTTACAACACAGCAATTTAAACATCAACACTTCTTGCAATGGATGTTACAAAATTATACTTCTGAGGGTTTTTTCATTCTCTAAAATGTCTAAATCTTTGTCTTTTTTTCCTCCTAATGTCTGTACATGAGGCAGAGAATTGAGGTAAATTCTGCATACTCTTATAGGGATTCTATGTATTATAGTAGTAAACTTGCGTAGAAAATAGCAACCTGGTTTAATTTTTACAACTGAATGTTTCATATGAGTAGTGTTGCCTTCCATCTTCTCTTGGGCTCTGCAGATATAATCAAATTACTGTATTGCGTGGATAGATGCCAGTTCTTGCCAACATTGCCAATTTTCTCTGGGTACAATCTTCCTGCTGTAATTATTTGAAATTGCTGCCACGGCATTCATGAAGTCTTCAGTTTTAAAAATCAAAATAAACTTGAGAAATTACTGTTTTATTGGATGGTTAATATTTTTCTAGCATCTGACAGTTCTAGAACTTATATTACCATCGGTGTCTTAAGGGTTTTTCAGAGTACTAAATTTGCTGAAAAAGCTGAACTCCACCCCTCAAATAACTTGTTAACGAACTGGCAGACCAGTCAGAGTGCCTCTAGTTATTACTCGAGATCATTAATTTACAGCC